AGGACAGTGCAAGCTAGGGCCCGCCCCTTAAAGTGCAGGTGAAGACCTGGTAAGACACAAATGGCGTGGTTTACGAAAAGGGCTGAGAAAAGTTAAGGCCTTTGTGAGGGGTTTAAGGGTTACTCTATCTCCCTCGGACCCCAGCCAACCCTGGATTTTAAACCCAAAAGATTCCTGCGCAGTGCTTGGCATGTACCCTGCGCATGTCCAGTCAGTGCCCCGCTGCATGTGCTTGTCGTACCCCTCTGCATGTGCTGGATGGACCCTGCTCAGCCCATGTCATGTGAACCTGCGCATGTTGCTGTCAGTGACTCCGCTGCATGTGCTTGTCATGTGACTCCTGCTGCATGTGTTTGTCATTGTGGGACTCCTGCGCCATGTCCATGTCATGTGACTCCTGCTGCATGTGCTTGTCATGTTACCTCCTGCTGCATGTGCCTTAGTGGCATGTGACTCCTGCTTCATGTCCCATGTCATGTGACTCCTGCTGCAATGTGCTTGTCATGTGACTCCTTCGCGTGCATGGCCTTGTCATGTGACTCCTGCTGCATGGCTTGTCATGTGACTCATGCTTCCATGTCCATTCCTGTGACTCCCTGCCTGCATGTGCGTGGTTCATGTGAACCTGACTGCATGTCTTGCATGTGACTCCTGCTGCAATGTCCATGTCATGTGGACTCCTGCGCATGGCTGTCATGTGACTCCTGCTGCATGTCCTTGTCATGTGACTCCTGCTGCATGTCCTTGTCATGTGACTCCTGCTGCATGTCCATGTCATGTGACTCCTGCTGCATGTGCTTGTCATGTGACTCCTGCTGCATGTGCTTGTCATGTGACTCCTGCTGCATGTCCTTGTCATGTGACTCCTGCTGCATGTGCTTGTCATGTGACTCCTGCTGCATGTGCTTGTCATGTGGACTCCTGCGGCATGTGCTTGTCACGTGTCTCCTGCTGTCATGTCCATGTCATGTGACTCCTGCTGCATGTCCTTTGTCATGGGTGACTCCTGCTGCAATGGCTGTCATGTGGTACTCCTGCTGCATGTGCATGTCATGTGACCTCAAGTTGACATGTCCTTGTCATGTGACCCTGCTGCATGTGCTGTGTCCCCATGTGACTCCCTGGGATGTGGCTTGTCATGTGACTCCCTGCTGCATGTGCTTTGTATGTGACTCCAGCGCATTTCCTTGTCCTGGGTGACATGGATAAGGGCTCACCTTTGTGACCTGAACCAAGTTGGCTGAGGATCTTGGAGTTGGTGGCCTCTAGAGAGCTCCCCCTAAATGCATGGGTGAAAACCTCTAACAAAGCTCAGTCAGAACATGGGTTAAGTCCACCAGCTGGAAGCATACTACTATGACGAAAAACCCTTGGACTAAAACATCTCTTCTGGGCTGTAACTTGCGGAACAGTCCTACCTACAACTCTTGCCGTTCCTCAACGTCATCATCATCACACTGAGGTACAACATGTCACCATGCCACTGTCAGTGTGATGGTTTGGCATAAATGTCCTTCTGATACATGTCTCATGGCACGCAAACACAGTCCTGAATGTCCTCTTGAATTAAGGCATACTAATTGGCAGAAAAATTCACTTGCCCGTTACATTTGGCAGACTTGCCAAAGTATGGGACCCAAAATGGGGAGCCATACTGGAGGCAAGCTTTGCTGTACTATCTTGCTGTGTTTCCAGATGAGACAACCTTAAAGGTGTCTAACATGCAAAAGAAAAATGCTCCTATTTGTGTGGCTAACGAAGTCCCTGACCTGTGGGCTGCTGTCTGGAGGGCACAGCCCCTAATAATTGGAAGGCTCAACACACAGAAGTGAGATTGAGTAGACATGTGCAGGACATTTTAATTCCTTTGGGTGAGTGCAGGGCCAGAGCGTCATGTGATGGGTCGGCTCTGCATTATGGAAACCTCCTTGGATGGCGGGGAATGCCCATGATCTGCCCCTGCCTTCCCTTGAGGGCTGACCTGTCTACGCCCGGATGCCCTGGACAGAGAGGACAAAGAGAACACCACACTGATAAGGCCACAACATGTCACTGTCCCATGAAACTATCTGGGAAGTTAAACCGGTCAGCAAATGCTCAATGAAGTTCCATGTGTTGTCTAAAAGGGGCAAATATGGCAGCTTTGCAGTAGACAGGCAAAAAGCATTTACTTCAGACGAACGAAAAGAGGAAGAAGAAGAAGTGTGATATAAGAGTTGTTTATTTCTGTGTAACCTGTTCTGGCTTACATATTTTATTTATACTCTACTACAGTGTGAGCAAACCAGATTCTTCTTTCTTCTTCTGCTACCCCTCTCCCAATAGAGCATAGGCTTTCAACCAGCTCATGTCAGTCTCTTTGTAGGTTTGTTCTTGAGTGGTTAGATTCTACAGCTAATGTTCTTCTTCTTCATCATTCTGTTGTCCTACTACTTATGCTGCCGTAAAGCTTCCTAGAGAGGAGTTAGATGTAGTTTCTGGTCTTTTGTTAGTTGCTTAGCTTAAATTAGTGTCATACTTCATTTTTGTATTGTGAACTGATAAATAACAAGGCAGGTGTGGTCAGAGCCCTTTGGGAACAAGTAACGAAGTCAGAAGAGAAACTAGATTAATATGGGCTGGACAGAATGATGCACCTGGGTGTGACCAGAGGGTTTGGCCGGCACACTACACTCAGAGGAAAGGCAAGAGGGACATACAACCAGACTATGATTGGCACCTTAGTATTGGAACTCTGCTCTGGCTGCTGAGGATGGGGACGGAGCACATATGGGAATGCTCTGAGTGCTGTGATGTCAATCCTTGACCCAGCTCTACTGGTTACAGCTCGCAAGATTGATGTAAAGAGAACCAGAGGAAAGCAAAGAGATAAATGCCTGGATACCTGGATGGCCTGGACAAGTGGATGGCCTGGACAAGTGGATGGGGGGAGACAAGTGGATAGGGGGAGACAAGTGGATGGCCTGGACAAGTGGATGGGGGGAGACAAGTGGATGGCCTGGACAAGTGGATGGAGGGAGACAAGTGGATGGCCTGGACAAGTGGATGGCCTGGACAAGTGGATGGGGGGAGACAAGTGGATGGCCTGGACAAGTGGATGGCCTGGACAAGTGGATGGCCTGGACAAGTGGATGGCCTGGACAAGTGGATGGCCTGGACAAGTGGTGGGGGGAGACAAAAAAAACACTGAACTGATTCCTGATTCTGATGATCATGTGAGATGGCAAAATATGACAGCCTACGCTTACTGGCAAGGCACATGATGATGATCATGATCATGTAGTGGGAAACCGATCTGTTTGTAATAAATTAATTTTAAAAGCATATTTTAAATATTTCCTTTTGATTTATCTAGGTCACGAGGCAGCATCGGCTGTTTTCCACCAAGAACAGATTCTTCAATGAGCAGACGAATGAATACCCCCACTAAACAGATCTCTCTGCAAGCAGTTCGTCGTAAAGAAGAGAGGTAGTTATTGACTACAGTCTCCTTACAGAGTTGGTCACATGTCCTTTACAGGACCTTGCAGAACCAACCCGAGAAATTTGTGTTGTGGTTTTTCTAGGCACATTTTACGTTCAGTAGTTTGCCATTGCTTTCTGAACGGTCAGTTCTCGGTACCAATTTTGAAACCAGTGCAGGACAAATTGTCCACAGCCTGGATCGAACCCTGTACCCAGGCATTATGAAGCATGTTCGCAGTGCCTAAGCCACAGTCTCCTTAACCAACCTATAATATGTTTAGTGTTAAACCTGATGCTAAAAACGCAGAATTGGACTGGAGAAGAAGAAGTGTAAAGTGTTTTATTTGGTTAGGAAGATTGTGGGTGTGTATGAGCCACAGTGGTGAAGTGGCTAGATGCTTGCCTGCTGGCCCAAGAGTTTCTTCTTCTTCTTCTTCTTCGCATTCACCAGCTGTAAAATCTGGCAAACAGTTCTGGTTGTTCGTCCACTTCTGGACTGTAGGCCTGTTTCAGAACCTGAGTGTTGCATATGCATCCGTTTTACAGATGTGACTTATTTGTATACAGATTGTTGGTTCCTTGCCTCTCAGGCAGATGCACTCCGACTTCAAAGGCAGCTCTCAATTAGTTGACTCTTATGACATGCTTGTGGGTAGACAGTGGGCCTATTCCTTGTTTCCCCCACAATGGCCCCCCAGAACCCACACAGGTAACCAAAAGGTTTAAATATATTCTAAGGAAGATTTGGATAAAATGACATTGATTTCAGGGTCAGTCCCAGGTAAAATGGGAACCAGGAAATTTCCCGAGAACTAAAGATGGTTGACCTCATCATGCATCATTTACCTTACAGTGAGATGTTATCATCATCATTGTACTGCCTTATATGTCACATCGGGCTCGCTGTCTATTCCTACATTATCCTTTACAGGACATTGCAGAACCAAACCCAGCATTTTTCTGGGGCTGTTGTGGTTGTTCTAGGCAAGTTCAATCTCCAGTAGTTTGCCATTGCTTTCTGCACCGTCAGCTTGTCGATACCACTGTTGAAACCAACATAAGGCCCAAGGCCCGCAGCTAAGATCAAACCCGGCACGCCAGCATTACGAATGCCTAAGCCTCAGACGCCGACAATGATTCACATACAAAGGGTTATTTCAGTGACTGCCTATGATCAACAGGCAGCAACAACATGACATTTCTTATGAATGATCAAGATATGTATGATGGTTTGATCAGTACTGTTTGGTACTGTTTGGTACTGTTTGGCACTGTTTGGCACTGTTTGGCACTGTTTGGTACTGATAAATTTAATTGTTGACCAGCATTATGTGTCCAAACATTTTCAGGGACTCATTTTCAGGCTGGATTTACCTGGGAGTCCACATTTGTTTGTTTACTTGGTAATATTAAATTAGATAATACATAGTTTTTAATTTATATAGAGCATCTGTCGGCAGTCATGGCTTAAGGGTTGGGAATGATTTGATTTGTAGGAAACAAAAATTTCAAACTTGCTCCTCACTGGACTGGCTAGATGTGCTGTTATGTTAAGGAAGTTTTTCTTTGCTGTCTTATTTGTATTCCAATTCTGTGTGGTGTGCAGCTACACCTAAAATTCCTTTTCTTTGTCTTCCGTGTCTGGTGTTGTCTTGTAGGTCCTGGTGTGGTCTTGTAGGTCCTGGTGTGTTCTTGTAGGTCCTGGTGTAGTCTTGTAGGTCCTGGTGTGTTCTTGTAGGTCCTGGTGTGGTCTTGTAGGTCCTGGTGTGGTCTTGTAGGTCCTGGTGTGTTCTTGTAGGTCCTGGTGTGGTCTTGTAGGTCCTGGTGGGGTCTTGTAGGTCCTGGTGTGTTCTTGTAGGTCCAGGTGGGGTCTTGTAGGTCCTGGTGGGATCTTGTAGGTCCTGGTGTGGTCTTGTAGGTCCTGGTGAGGTCTTGTAGGTCCTGGTGGGGTCTTGTAGGTCCAGGTGGGGTCTTGTAGGTCCTGGTGGGGTCTTGTAGGTCCTGGTGGGGTCTTGTAGGTCCTGGTGGGGTCTGGTTGTTTATTTCCTGTCCTCGAGGGTTTTTGCTGCTTGGATTGCTGGTGCTTGGTGTGTCTGTTGCTGTGCTGGTGCTTTATGTGCCGCGTGCCGGTCGCTGTGCTGGTGCTTTATGTGCCGCGTGCCGGTCGCTGTGCTGGTGCTTTATGTGCCAGTCGCTGTGCTGATGCTTGATGTACTGTGTGCCGGTCGCTGTACTGGTGTTTGGTGTACCGTGTGCCGGTCACTGTGCTGGTGTTTGGTGTACTACGTGCCGGTCACTGTACTGGTGCTTGATGTACTGTGTGCCGGTCGCTGTACTGGTGTTTGGTGTACTACGTGCCGGTCGCTGTACTGGTGTTTGGTGTACTACGTGCCGGTCGCTGTACTGGTGCTTGATGTACTGTGTGCCAGTCACTGTACTGGTGTTTGGTGTACTACGTGCCGGTCGCTGTGCTGGTGCTTGATGTACTGTGTGCCGGTCGCTGTACTGGTGTTTGGTGTACTACGTGCCGGTCGCTGTACTGGTGTTTGGTGTACTACGTGCCGGTCGTTGTGCTGGTGCTTGATGTACTGTGTGCCAGTCACTGTACTGGTGTTTGGTGTACAGTGTGCCGGTCGCTGTGCTGGTGTCTTAACGCCAGGTCTTGGGTTTCTGCCTGGTTGGGAATACAATTTCAGAACCCTTTAATATGAGGCTTTGAAGTTAGTCGCATGTGATTTGGTAGCATACAGTTTTGCATCAATTTCAACACAAGTATTATCATAAAGCTGTTCAGCAAGCAAAAGCAAACTGCTGAATTTAAAATTGACCAGTAAAACAGCCACCTAATTCTAGGTTGGTTTTATAAAAGACATGGAAGAATCTTTTGAGTTTAACAGAGCATCTACTTTTTTTTTTCAATTGAGCACTGAACCATTTGTTGATCAAGTGGAGTGGCAGCAGCTTACTCTTGAAAACAACAGACAAATCTGGAAGCCAGAAACAAACACAGGTAAGAGATAGCTCCTGGTTTTATAAGGTTAACAAAATAGACTATCATCATTGCCTACTAACTAGGAAGGCTAACCAAGGCAAAAATTATCTGAAGAAGTTGGATGTCTCGGCTAAAAGATACTTATATTTCAGCCATGCTGTAAACAGGCACAAGGCAGCTGCATCCTCGGATGATGGAAGATGACAAAGAAGAAGAAAACTCAGAGTAATTCACTAATTCCATCACACAAAGATTCTTCTAAATGAGGCATTGAAGGTCCACAGTAAATGCTTGTGTAAGCATTGTAGTCTCATATTATCTGGTCTAGGCTGGGGATGTTTGGTCCATGGGCTTAATTGTTTCAACAGACTCCTGCCAAGTACTTATGGAAGGACTCATCTTTATTTCACTCACTCATTAGAAATGGGTGTTTGAAAAAGTCAAAAAATAAGAATCCGAATAGGATGACAACAATTAAACAATGACTGCAGTAGAAAGTCAACATATGTTTGACCATAGGACAAAACCAGATGAAGATTCTTCATTTCAAGTCAAAAGGATTGACTTCCCTACTATGTTTTCCACAGAACAGCAAGCCACATTCTGAGAGTGTTATTAGTTAGTTAGTTAGTTAGTCTTTCCTCTTGTGTCGAGTGCGGCACATAGGGCAGAGGTCATGACTCTCCATGCATGGCGGTTCGTTGCAATCTGTTGTAGGTCTTGGATGTTTGAGTGGCCCATGAGCGAGCCTTCCCTGATGATAGTTCTACGAAGGGTTTTCCTTGGTCTTCCACAAGATCTTTTCCCCTGTGGTGTCCAAATGAGGGCTTGGTAAGGAAGTCCTGATTTATCCATTCTATGGGCGTGGCAGACATAGTTCCAGCGGCGTTTTCGTATAAAATTAGACACATACTCTTGCCTGGATTCTTGCCTTATTTGTGTATTGGTTCGGAAATCTGACCATTTGAAATTTAGTATTCTTTTAAGGCATTTATTTTCAAAACTGTCTAATTTTGTGTCTAGAGTTTTCGTTGATTTCCAGCTCTCGCATCCATAGGTTAGTACTGGAATCACACAAGAATTGAAGATCTTGAGTTTTGTGTGTTTGCTAAGTGTCTTTGATTTCCAGATGTTGGACAGTTTATTGAAGGCACTAGATGCCAGTGCTATTTTAAATGGTATTTCTGGTGCGGTATCTCCTGTAGATGACATCTTGCTCCCTAGATAAGAGAAACTGTTGACTTTTTCAAGGCTGTTGTTGTTCAGCGTGATATCAACTGAACTGTTGGTAAGGTCTAGAATTTTTGTTTTTGCGGTGTTAATTTGGAGTCCAATTTGTTCTGAGAAATTCTGGAGTCGATTGATTTTTTCTTGGGCGTCTGTGTGTTCTGAACTCAGGAGTGCTATGTCGTCGGCGAAGTCTAGGTCTTCCAGAATTTTGTCAACCCATGTAATGCCTAAATTTGCGTTATTTATGCACTTGCGCATGACCCAGTCGATTGCTATACCAAAAAGCATCGGCAATAGGACACATCCTTGCTTCACTCCTGTTTCCACCGGGAACCAGTCAGAATTGCCGGAATCAGTTCTTACACAGCATCGTGTTTCATTATAAAAAGATTTTATGATGTTGATATATTTGATGGGGAAACCATAGATGTTAAGCAATTTCCAGAGTGTTGGACGATGGATACTGTCGAATTCTTTTTGGAAGTCGACAAAGTTTATCAATAATTTCGACTGGAATTCTGTAGAATCTTCAACAATTATTCTAAGAGTAAAGATGTGGTCTATGCATGACCGCTTGGATCTAAAACCCGCTTGTTCTTCCCTTAATCTTTCATCTATGGATTTTTTCAATCTTTCTAGTAGCATACTACAAAATAGTTTCCCTGGTAGTGTTATACAAAGCACAAACTCCATAGCGCTAGCGGCTATCCCTAGGGGTCTCTGTAAAAATTTAACCTGTGAATTGAATATTGGAGTCTGTGAAACAAATCCACATTCTTCAAAGCCTGAAATAAATGGCTGAAACCACTTAGCTAAATATTCAGACATTATGACAAGACCTAATACAAATTTGTCAGTTGACAAAATATAAATGCTATCTCATTGTCACTCCATTCTGAATATTCACTAAACTGAACATATCCATAGATCAGTTAAGTTATTGACTTGTTACAATTCCGTTGTACATGTTAACATTTTTATGGAGTATAGTGTATTTACACAACCACAGGTAATAATAAATGAAGGGAGAGCAACAACATATGGAGAAGAAAATTAGAGTTGAAGGTCAAAAAGATGGAGAGGACGTGGAGTAAGTTGCATGAGACAACAAAAGATAGGAAGACTTGGCATTAGTTAGTTACTCGTTCAGTTGTAAGGCAGGCATCATGCATTTATAAGTTCTTACCCAGAAGCCCAGTGAATTCAAGATGTGCTGACTTTACTACCACCTTGGGCCTCTGATGCTAAACCCCGGGACTGAAAGACTTGAAGGCTTATAGGGAATAAAAGACAGAAAACGAAGCTTCCACATACACACATAAACATGGATAGCCGTAATCTTATGCAGACTGTGACATACAGATATACAGATAATTGTTTATATGCACAAACGTATACATATATGCACTAGATTCCTTACAAATTTGGCTCTCTACTGTCAGGATATCCAGAGCCAGCTAAAAAACTTGTGCAAGCAGATGGCTTCAGGTAGGTAATTTTTGTTTTGGTTCTTTATTAATATTCTACCCCCAGATGACATTGTAGGACAGTCCAGCATTTTAGAGTGTGGTAAGGCTGGGTTTCCCGGCTTTCTGATGCTTCTAACGACCCCAAAACATCTATAACTCTCCCTTCACCTCTACAAAGAGTGCTAAGCTCCTGAGCATATCCTTGTATGCCATCTCTCTCAGCAAATGTTATAAAGTGAGTTTAGACCTTAGTTGCATAAATACAATTTTTCTGGTTTGAAATTTAGAGTTCCTTTCTTCTAGCGCTGCTAATAGAAATCATCACCATCGAGTGCCTTGCCGACTGGCAAGGGCGATCATGACTCTCCACAATCCGCAATCTGCAACAGCATGTATCAGCTCGTGTGTTGACATCCCTCCTTGCCCCTTGCCATAACAAAAGACTGTCAAGAAGGTTCTCACGCTGTCTTCCTCTCTATCTTTTTTCCACAGATCTTTCCAGTGGTCACTACATTTCATTTTCCGTCTTCTCATAACATGACCAAACATAATTATGACTGTCTCTTTCTGATGTTTGTGATAAGTTGTCTTTGAGCATTCGCCTCTTTCAAAACATTGATAGAAAAAAAGTGTCTGATAATCACTGAAAATGACATTGACATAAAAATAAATAAAACTACAAAATTTGTGCTGAAAAAAAATCAAGAAAAATTTATTTTAGTTGTCAAAAAGTAACAAATATTACTTTTAATGCTGTAACTGAATTGATATATCATGCTGTCTGATTGTGAGATTAATAATAAGTACAAGTATTTAGTTTATATGACGAATTTTTCTTTTTTTCACCTCACTCAACTCAAATCACTGACCTCCATTAAGCACCTAACCCACAGGGAGTAGGGCATGGTACTGTGCAGCCTGATGGCAGGGAAGTTGGAGATGTTCCGGATGTCTCATGAAGAGATGTAAAACCGAACAAAAAGTAGATCAGCGAGCTTCACAATATGACGTACACAAATGGAAAGTGAACCTTGTGGGTACATCAGCACATACATCAGTCAAACAAAACCACACAAATACACAAAATAACTTAACTGACCTATCCCCAAGCAGCCACGTTAATGTCTTGCCAGTGGAATAAAAAGATATGTGTGGCCCAAGAATAAATAGCCAGAGAATGCCAACATCCATCACTCGAGAATTTGAGATAAAATTGTGTTGACAGTTCAGTCCTCTAGGTGTTTGTATACCCAAGGTAAAATGACTCTCAATAGATCTGCAGCCTCTGTCACTGGAGTGGCAGATTTAATGGCCGTCACCTCCATGTCACAGACACCTAGGTGATCCTGAGGGTTGAAGTGCAGTGGTACTGGTTGCAGGGCATTGTTCTGCACATCCAAAAGTTGTTGTCTGAACTTAGCTTGTCATAGAACCATTTGACTGATGTATTTTATGCCACATCTAGTGCAGTTGATGACATTGTGGCTTATGCAATAGAATCCCTCATGTATGTAGAAGTTGGCTTTTCTGAATTCTGAACTTTTCCCTTGAACCACATATGGACAAGTCCTGCATACAGGTCTGTGGCAGGAGACCATGCCCAAGTGGGACTCAGACGTAGGATGTAATCAACTCTTGACCAGAACGTCCTTGAGGTTAGGGTCATGTCTGTAGGCCCTAGAGAAAGTTCCAAGAAAATCCTGCTGGTGGCCGGGTAAACTCAAAGGATGGAGAGATGCCTGAGAAGAATGTTTTTTTTGTCATGGATGTTGTGAGGGTGGTAGGTAAGTGAATGGTTAGGTCTGTTGTGGTGACGTTTAGGCTTGGAAAAGAGGGCCAGATGTCTTATGTACTCATACACTTTTGTCAAATTATAGGGCTTTAACACAAGCTACGCAGCTAGCAAAAGACAGGAAACAATGTCTAACTCCAACCTGCAACGCTTTGCGACATAAGAAGTAGGACAAGAGAAGAAAGAAGATAGAGCTTTTATACTGTTAGCTTCTTTAAGCTGTATTCCTTGCCAGAAAAAAAAAAATTAAATGACTAACTATCTGAATTCACATCTTCAGGCTGGAAGCTGTTGCTGAAACTTCCTGGCAACTCAATGAACAATTACTGTCACAACCAAACAAAGTGATGAGTAAAGTCACGTCACAAACAGAAACCATTGTTGAAGCTGCTGAAGGGCGTGGAGTAAGCAATAGAGAGAAGAACCGAGAAGAGAAAAACACTGATGATAGCGATGAAGGTGAAGGTGATGATGATGATGATTCTGACAGCTCTGAAGAAGAGGAAGAAAAACTGAGGGCTCCTAATGAGCTTCTAATGGAGGTATTGCATTTTGTTCGTGTTATATTTGTTTATCTTTCTTCAAGTGTCTTGTTGACTGGTGTAGGCAGCTGTGGTTCGGCAGCACCTTTGTTGTATGTTGTTGTTTATCAGTACATGAGCTGCCATGTATTCCTGCCATGATGCTAACCTCACATGGGTTCCAAGGCCCTATTTTAGGGGGGAAATAGATCCCCCCCCCCAAGTATGCAAATCATAAGAGTTGACTAATTAGGGGTGTTTCCTTTGAAGTCGGAGGCAAGATATAATACCCAATGAAAGTATATCAGTGAGCTTCACAATATAACAAACACAAACAAAACATGAACATTGCGGCTATAGAGACTTCATCAGCACATACATAAATTAGACAATACTACACAAATACACAATATCACTTATCTCTGTATCTCGAAGCAGCCAGGTCGCGGTCTAGCCAATAGACTGACAAGACACGTGGGAACGGGAAAGTAAATATCCCAGAGAATGCCAGGAGAAGTGGGAGTGCATCTGCCTGAGAGATGAGCAACCAGCCAGATCTGTATATAAATGTGCATGTATCTGCCTGAGAGATGAGGAACCAACTAGATCTGTATATGAATGTGCATGCAAAACTCAGGTTCTGGATAAAGACTAGAGTCCAGAAGTGGAGGAACAACTAGAACTTTCTGCTGGAGTTTGAGCCAGTGAACGCCAACAAGAAAAAAATGATGATAGACTGTCTTGTATGCATATTTCTGCCAGAATAATTTGTTTATGCTTCTTTCTCTGTGTTGATCCTCAAACGGGCGGTTGGCTTGTTGCATTGTGGTTTACAGCTAAGATGTGATATATGTGCCGGTTGGCCCAACACATCCAGTTTCAGCTTACTCTCAGTTAGCTTTTGCAACATATGAGGCAGTAGGGGTTTTCGTATTTTTAAAACAATTTTTGAAAAAAAAAAATAAAGTGATTAATAGCATCTTCAACCCTACTTTATGCTATCAGTGTGAAACGTGGACAATGAATAAGGCATTAGAACAGAAAATTACCCTCTGTGAAATGTGATGTCTCCGCAAGGCACATGGTTATGAATACCAGCATTAAACAGTTGAAATTATATTGACAGACAAAGAATGAAGTTGTTCAACCATCTAGTGAGAATGCAGCCAGACCAGACTGCATGTGAGACTTTTTACAGCAGAAAGAACGAACGAACAAACTTTTTTTTTCAAAGGGTTACAAATGGGAGGAAGGCAAGGGGAAAACCAAGAAAGTGACAGATAAAATGATGTAGTTCTTTTTCTTCTTCTTTGATACTTCTGTCAGAAAACTTATATTAGAAGGCCTTTATGAAAGCTATCGTGCAGTCCATATCTTCCCGAGTACCATACAGTTTTGACTTCATTGTGTTTGGAACAGGCCAGATTGTGTCTGTGTTGTCAGCATACAGTTGACAGTGTTAGAGCACATTCTCAGCATTTTCGGGTGCCAAGTTGCAGGGGCACGTTGCCGTGTTTCCGACACCGAAAAGTTTGCACATAGTTGATGAAGTCTGTTGTGCCCTGTCCTTAATCTGAATATTATACACTGTGCATCTTTAGAGAGGCGATTAAGTGAGTCTTGAGGAGAAAATTGTGTGTGTGTGGATCCAGCCACCTGATGTAGTAGATAAAACTTGTTAAAAGGTGAACAAATCCACCACACAAACCACACAAGAAACGTGAGATAAATACAGAAAACCACGACGCTGGGCTACAACCTGGTATCAGTGAGACGACAAAATAAGAAGAAGAACAATAGGACCACAGAACACACACGAGGAATCTGTTTATTATTCACTGGCAAGATATATATCTAATGGCACAAAATGTGATGACAATGAATGTGAAAAATGGATCTGCAGTAGTTCAGTTGCCAGCATGAGTGGTCATAATGTTCGAATCTCCATCAAGATGGATAAAATCAAATCTGGGCTCCTGGGTCCTGCACTTTTTTCTTTACTATGAAAGGACAAACACAAACTTTTCATGTATCATTGTCACTGTAGGGTTTAGGTGATGATGTGGCTCCACAACCACCTGTCTTTTATGTTCTTGTCAAATCAGACCTTCTGATTCAATTCCATTCCAAATTCTGTTGAGAAATTTGATTCCAAAAGGTTTTTTCTTCTTCTTCGTATTCACCAGCTGTAACTCCGGAGGAAAGTTCTGGTTCTTCGTTCACCTCAGGACTTGAGTTTCTTTTCAAAACCTGAGTGTTGCATGCACATGCATTTTACAAATCTGATGTATTTGTCAGCAGATTGTTGGTTCCTTGCCTCTAATACAACAATCTTGTTGGGAAGGCAGTGGGTCTATTCTTGTTTTCCCCACAATGGGGACCTGAAACCCACATGGGGGTGACAGTTTTTGAATTATTGCTATATTTATTTGTCATGTTGCTATATTTATTTGTCATGTTGCTATATTTATTTGTCATGTTGCAATATTTATTTGTCATGTTGCTATATTTATTTGTCATGTTGCTAGATTTATTTGTCATGTTGCTATATTTATTTGTCATGTTGCTATATTTATTTGTCATGTAGCTAGATTTATTTTTCACATTGCTATATTTATTTGTCATGTTGCTATATTTATTTGTCATGTTGCTATATTTATTTGTCATGTTGCTATATATATTTGTTATGTTGCTATATTTATTTGTCATGTTGCTATATTTATTTGTCATGTTGCAATATTTATTTGTCATGTTGCTATATTTATTTGTCATGTTGCTATATTTATTTGTCATGTTGCTATATTTATTTGTCATGTTGCTATATTTATTTGTCATGTTGCTATATTTATTTGTCATGTTGCTATATTTATTTGTCATGTTGCTATATTTATTTGTCATGTTGCTATATTTATTTGCCATGTTGCTATATTTATTTGTCATGTTGCTATATTTATTTGTCATGTTGCTATATTTTTGGTTTGTTAGTATCTAGACACAATAAAACTGAGCATTTTCAAATGTTATGCAGAAACCTGGATAGTAAACAAGCAATTAAAAAGTCAGATTTGGATTGTGGGGATGTGGATAAAAGAAAAAAATTGTTGTTTTCATGGTAACAGAAAACAGTCCAAGACAGAGGTTCTAGAGAGGCTCAAACAATAAAAAGACATCTCAATAAAATGACCTTAGCTCCCAGGTCGACCCAGCCTTGAGTGGGTACCGGGTGCAGTCCCGGGGAGTAATGCTGACCACATCACCCATCTTGTGCCGATTGGTCTATAATAATATAGGTCTAGCCCTATATGCCCTATAGTGGAAAAGGGTCCTTTACTTTACTTACTTATGACAGCAATGAAAAAAAAAGATAAGTTTTTTGGCAACACTAAAAGAATGACACCCTTATAAAAACTATACTGGAGGGGAAAACTTAAGACAAGTGAGCAAGAGGTGGACAACATAACAGATGGAAAGATAACATCAAGAGATGAACAAATAGCAGTCTGTTAGAGTGGATAAGGGATGAATAAAATGTCGGATATCCATTGCAGCTAATCTTAATTGTGGGGAAGGTGTCTGCTGGATTGACTGATTACTTGTTTTTTTGTGAATGTTGGGACTTGATTCCAGCTTATAAAAAGTCTGAAACATGTAATACATATTGCACACATATGTGTAACATCTGAGAGATTAAGTATACGTTAGAGCGTAGAAATGTAATATGTATTTAGCTAAATTTTAATGTGTTACAGAGCAGAAAACCAGTATACATTTTAGCTGAAAAATGTAGCATTTAGTGCATGTTATAATTTTAAAATGTGATTTATTTTGTAGCTTCTCTGGGTACTGTATAGTATAGGGAGTATCAGTGGCGAAGTGGCCAAGCCACGCCATTTGTCCCACATGTTGAAGGTAGTGGGTTCATTTTGTGGACCGCATTGTTCGGTTCACGAGTACAATATTTACTGTGGTCCCCAGGTATTGTCACTGGAGCTAGGACACTCCCATCAGGCAACTAGCCATTCTCTGTAGACAGACCGAACCGTATGGGATCAATCCTGGCATCACAAAGTTGATTCTCCCCATGTGCATTCGGGGGCCCCATTATGGGGCAAACAAGAGTAGACCCACTGCCTCCCCAACAAGCCTGTCATAGGGGTCGACTAATTGGGGGCATTCTTCGAAGTCGGAGTACATCTGCCTGAAAGGCAGGGAACCAAGAGTCTGCATACAAATAAGCAGATGTTTTAAACAGATATACATGCAACACAAAGGTTCTGGAACAAAACTTAAATCCAGAGGCTGACAAACACCCAGAAATTTTTGCTGGAGTTTACAGCCAGTCAACATGAAGAAGAAGAAGAAGGAGAAACTTGATATTAAAAAAAATTGATATCAACAGTTATGTGTGTTGAGATGTTTTTTTTTTTCAAAGGAGGTAATTTTGTATCAGCTACTGTCAGTGGGCTGTGAAGTGTTAGGCGACTGTTTACAACAGGGTCAGATACAGCGACTAGCAACCCCAGAGTTAGATACAGCGAGTAGCAACCCCAGAGTCAGATACAGCGACTAGCAACCCCAGAGTTAGATACAGCAAGTAGCAACCCCAGAGTCAGATACAGCGACTAGCAACCCCAGAGTTAGATACAGCAAGTAGCAACCCCAGAGTCAGATACAGCGAGTAGCAACCCCAGAGTTAGATACAGCGAGTAGCAACCCCAGAGTCAGATACAGCAAGTAGCAACCCCAGAGTCAGATACAGTGAGTAGCAACCCCAAAGTCAGATACAGCAAGTAGCAACCCCAGAGTCAGATACAGCGAGTAGCAAGCCCAGAGTCAGATACAGCGAGTAGCAAGCCCAGAGTCAGATACAGCGAGTAGCAAGCCCAGAGTCAGATACAGCGAGTAGCAAGCCCAGAGTCAGATACAGCGAGTAGCAAGCCCAGAGTCAGATACAGCGAGTAGCAACCCCAGAGTCAGATACAGCGAGTAGCAACCCCAGAGTCAGATACAACGAGTAGCAACCCCAGAGTCAGATACAGCGAGTAGCAACCCCAGAGTCAGATACAGTGAGTAGCAACCCCAGAGTCAGATACAGTGAGTAGCAACCCCAGAGTCAGATACAGTGAGTAGCAACCCCAGAGTCAGATACAGTGAGTAGCAACCCCAGAGTCAGATAGAGCGAGTAGCAACCCCAGAGTCAGATACAGTGAGTAGCAAGCCCAAAGTCAGATACAGTGAGTAGCAACCCCAGAGTCAGATAGAGCGAGTAGCAACCCCAGAGTCAGATACAGTGAGTAGCAACCCCAGAGTCAGATACAGTGAGTAGCAACTCCAGAGTCAGATAGAGCGAGTAGCAACCCCAGAGTCAGATACAGTGAGTAGCAACCCCAGAGTCAGATACAGTGAGTAGCAACCCCAGAGTCAGATACAGTGAGTAGCAACCCCAGAGTCAGATACAGTGAGTAGCAACCCCAGAGTCAGATAGAGCGAGTAGCAACCCCAGAGTCAGATACAGCGAGTAGCAAGCCCAAAGTCAGATACGGCGAGTAGCTACCCCAGAGTTTGATACAGCGAGTAGCAACCCCAGAGTCAGATACAGCAAGTAGCAACCCCAGAGTCAGATACAGCAAGTAGCAAGCCCCGAGTCAGATACAGCGAGTAGCAACTCCAGAGTCAGATACAGCGAGTAGCAACCCCCAGAGTCAGATACAGCGAGTAGCAACCCCAGAGTCAGATACAGTGAGTAGCAACCCCAGAGTCAGATACAGCGAGTAGCAACTCCAGAGTCAGATTCAGCGAGTAGCAACCCCAGAGTCAGATACAGCGAGTAGAAACCCCAGAGTCAGATAGAGTGAGTAGCAACCCCAGAGTCAGATAGAGCGAGTAGCAATCCCAGAGTCAGATACAGCGAGTAGCAACCCCAGAGTCAGATACAGCGAGTAGAAACCCCAGAGTCAGATACAGCGAGTAGCAACCCCAGAGTCAGATACAGCAAGTAGCAACCCCAGAGTCAGATACAGCGAGTAGAAACCCCAGAGTCAGATACAGCGAGTAGCAACCCCAGAGTCAGATACGGCGAGTAGCAACCCCAGAGTTTGATACAGGGAGTAGCAACCCCAGAGTCAGATACAGCGAGTAGCAAGCCCAGAGTCAGATACAGCGAGTAGCAACTCCAGAGTCAGATACAGCGACTAGCAACCCCAGAGTTAGATACAGCAAGTAGCAACCCCAGAGTCAGATACAGCAAGTAGCAACCCCAGAGTTTGATACAGGGAGTAGCAACTCCAGAGTCAGATACAGCGAGTAGCAAGCCCAGAGTCAGATACAGCGAGTAGCAACTCCAGAGTCAGATACAGCGACTAGCAACCCCAGAGTTAGATACAGCAAGTAGCAACCCCAGAGTCAGATACAGTGAGTAGCAAGCCCTGAGTCAGATACAACGAGAGCAACCCCAGAGTCAGATAGAGCGAGTAGCAACCCCAGAGTCAGATAGAGCGAGTAGCAACCCCAGAGTCAGATAGAGCGAGTAGCAACCCCAGAGTCAGATAGAGTGAGTAGCAACCCCAAAGTCAGATACAGTGAGTAGCAACCCCAAAGTCAGATACAGTGAGTAGCAACCCCAGAGTCAGATACAGCGAGTAGCAACCCCAGAGTCAGATACAGCAAGTAGCAAGCCCCAAGTCAGATACAGCAAGTAGCAACCCCAGAGTCAGATACAGCGAGTAGCAACTCCAGAGTCAGATACAGCGAGTAGCAACCCCCAGAGTCAGATACAGCGAGTAGCAACCCCAGAGTCAGATAGAGCGAGTAGCAACTCCAGAGTCAAATACAGCGAGTAGCAACTCCAGAGTCAGATACAGCGAGTAGAAACCCCAGAGTCAGATACAGCGAGTAGAAACCCCCAGAGTCAGATACAGCGAGTAGCAACTCCAGAGTCAGATAGAGCGAGTAGCAACTCCAGAGTCAGATACAGCGAGTAGAAACCCCAGAGTCAGATACAGCGAGTAGAAACCCCAGAGTCAGATACAGCGAGTAGCAACCCCAGAGTCAGATACAGCGAGTAGAAACCCCAGAGTCAGATACAGCGAGTAGCAAGCCCAGAGTCAGATACAGCGAGTAGCAAGCCCAAAGTCAGATACAGTGAGTAGCAAGCCCAGAGTCAGATACAGTGAGTAGCAAGCCCAGAGTCAGATACAGTGAGTAGCAAGCCCAGAGTCAGATACAGCGAGTAGCAACCCCAGAGTCAGATACAGTGAGTAGCAAGCCCAGAGTCAGATACAGTGAGTAGCAAGCCCAGAGTCAGATACAGTGAGTAGCAAGCCCAGAGTCAGATACAGCGAGTAGCAAGCCCAGAGTCAGATACAGTGAGTAGCAAGCCCAGAGTCAGATACAGTGAGTAGCAAGCCCAGAGTCAGATACAGTGAGTAGCAAGCCCAGAGTCAGATACAGCGAGTAGCAACCCCAGAGTCAGATAGAGCGAGTAGCAAGCCCAGAGTCAGATACAGCGAGTAGCAACCCCAGAGTCAATAAGAGCCTTTGAAGGCCTCAAACAGGAAAACATTTAAAGTTTTCATATAAGCTCCCTTTGTACAGTGGCACTGCATAGAGTACAAGACAGACTCTTGCACCTCCACTCTTTCTTGTTCCCGCTTTTTTCCCCCTCTTCAAAATTCCCTCTTGTAACTTTTACACTCTGCTTGCATTGTAAGTTAAGAGTTTATGTATATTGTAAGTTTTGATGATGTGTATTGTAGCTTAACAAATTAAATTAATGTAACTTCAGTACTTAGTGTAACACTCGCCTGCGGATCGGAAGGTCATAGGTTTGGGTGCCATCCGTCGTCTCAGAGAAATTAAACAGATTAAGATTTCTTGATTGTTTACATCCAAATGAGTTGCCATTAATGCGACATAATGCTTTACAACAAATACATTTCATGGTTAAAACTTAAAAAAAAAAAATTGCAAATTTTTTCTTTAAAAATTACCTTGGCTCCCAGGTCAACCCACCCTTGAGTGGAGATTAGGCGAAGTCCTGGGAAGTAAAGGTGGCCAGCATGATGCCCAATACACCTGAAGGCATGGAAAAAAGGGTCCTTTTTCTTACTTTTACTTAGTCTTATCTGCCATTGAATCACAAAATGACTTTTGCTTCCCAGTTTGTGGACTGTCTCATGAGGAAAGATTTCCAGACTGCCAGCAAGTTGTGTAAAATGAGTATGTAATTGTGTTGTGTTATGCATTATTATATGACCCACACCAACATGTTCCTAATATATGTTGTTGCTGTGTAATTTTTTTTAATTTCCTAGTGATATCAGAAATTGATGTGGCTGCAGACTAGTAGCAAGAAGCAAATTAATACAGCATGAATGAACTATGGATAGCAAAGCTCAGCAAAGGAGAGGAAAGATACAGCCAAATGTTTCTGCTGAAGTCTTTATCAACAAATAAAACAAAAGACAACTGCTCTTTCTGTCATTAGTTTCTGCTGAAGTCTTTATCAACAAATAAAACAAAAGACAACTGCTCTTTCTGTCATTAGTTTCTGCTGAAGTCTTTATCAACAAATAAAACAAAAGACAACTGCTCTTTCTGTCATTAGTTTCTGCTGAAGTCTTTATCAACAAATAAAACAAAAGACAACAGCTCTTTCTGTCATTAGTTTCTGCTGAAGTCTTTATCAACAAAGAAAACAAAAGACAACAGCTTTTTTCTGTCATTAGTATCTGCTGAAGTCTTTATCAACAAATAAAACAAAAGACAACAGCTTTTTCTGTCATTAGTTTCTGCTGAAGTCTTTATCAACAAAGAAAACAAAAGACAACAGCTCTTTCTGTCATTAGTTTCTACTGAAGTCTTTATCAACAAATAAAACAAAAGACAACAGCTTTTTTCTGTCATTAGTATCTGCTGAAGTCTTTATCAACAAATAAAACAAAAGACAACAGCTGTTTCTGTCATTAGTTTCTGCTGAAGTCTTTATCAACAAATAAAACAAAAGACAACAGCTTTTTCTGTCATTAGTTTCTGCTGAAGTCTTTATCAACAAAGAAAACAAAAGACAACAGCTCTTTCTGTCATTAGTTTCTACTGAAGTCTTTATCAACAAATAAAACAAAAGACAACAGCTTTTTCTGTCATTAGTATCTGCTGAAGTCTTTATCAACAAAGAAAACAAAAGACAACAGCTTTTTCTGTCATTAGTTTCTGCTGAAGTCTTTATCAACAAATAAAACAAAAGACAACAGCTCTTTCTGTCATTAGTATCTGCTGAAGTCTTTATCAACAAAGAAAACAAAAGACAACAGCTCTTTCTGTCATTAGTTTCTGCTGAAGTCTTTATCAACAAAGAAAACAAAAGACAACAGCTCTTTCTGTCATTAGTTTCTGCTGAAGTTTTTATCAACAAAGAAAACAAGAGACAACAGCTCTTTCTGTCATTAGTTTCTGCTGAAGTCTTTATCAACAAAGAAAACAAAAGACAACAGCTCTTTCTGTCATTAGTTTCTGCTGAAGTTTTTATCAACAAAGAAAACAAAAGACAACAGCTCTTTCTGTCATTAGTTTCTGCTGAAGTTTTTATCAACAAAGAAAACAAAAGACAACAGCTCTTTCTGTCATTAGTTTCTGCTGAAGTCTTTATCAACAAAGAAAACAAAAGACAACAGCTCTTTCTGTCATTAGTTTCTGCTGAAGTTTTTATCAACAAAGAAAACAAAAGACAACAGCTCTTTCTGTCATTAGTTTCTGCTGAAGTTTTTATCAACAAAGAAAACAAAAGACAACAGCTCTTTCTGTCATTAGTTTCTGCTGAAGTCTTTATCAACAAAGAAAACAAAAGACAACAGCTCTTTCTGTCATTAGTTTCTGCTGAAGTTTTTATCAACAAAGAAAACAAAAGACAACAGCTCTTTCTGTCATTAGTTTCTGCTGAAGTTTTTATCAACAAAGAAAACAAAAGACAACAGCTCTTTCTGTCATTAGTTTCTGCTGAAGTTTTTATCAACAAAGAAAACAAAAGACAACAGCTCTTTCTGTCATTAGTTTCTGCAGTCATCTATGATGATTAAGACAATTTGTTTTGGTGTATGATTCTTGTTGTTTATTCATTGATGAAGATTTAGGTTAAAATGTTCAGTTGTGTTTGTGTCTTTTCAATCTCCAATATTGAATTTATTTCTCAGTTATAGCTTATATCATGTCTGGATTATATTGACAGACAAAGAATGAAATGGTTTGGCCATCTAGTGAAAATGCAGCCAGACCAAACTGCATATAAGACCTTTTATAGCAGAACATCTGAGAGGAAGGCGAGAGGAAGACCAAGAAAGTTATGGATCAGTGGTGTAGCTGAAATCTGCAAAAAGATTAACAAATCCATCACTCAAGCCACATGAGAAGTGCAAGACAAATACAGACAGTGGGCTACAACCTGGTATCAATAAGATGACAAAAGAAGAAGAAGAAGAAGAGGAGGAGGAAAAGAAGAAGAAGAAGGTCTAGGAAGTTACCTATTTATAGTTTTTAAAGTCTGCATTTACTTTTAAAAGGGTGGTTGATACATTATGTTGTGGTTTATAGCTAGGCTGCAATATTTCAGCTCATCATGTTTTATCTTAGCAAACCCAAAATGATGACATGAGTGTTGAGGGACAGTAGTTCACTCTGTTTGCACTCAGAATTCACTGCACAGGAAATGTTAGTCTAGCTGTGTGTGCCTCTAAGGAATGTCCTCTATTTACTTACTTACTGAGTTCCATCCTCTTCTACTTATGTAGAGTGTAGGGGTTTGCCATGGAAATCACCAGAGACCACTAAAATGGGTACCAGCCTTTTTTTTTTCTTTCTGGTGGTATGCAGTGGAAGACAGCACCACCGTACTGGCTCTATTTTGAGTTATTTAGTTCAGGAATGTCCTGGAAGGTGAAAGACACTGGTATGATGGTGATCACATCCCCCAGCGAGTGCCGACTGGTTTATGAAGGTATGAGTTGAGCAGCACATGTCCAATGTATCACTGGCATAACAAGGGTCATTGTAAGTTACAGTCAGCGAGGTAAAGTTTCAGTCAGTAAGGTACAGTTACAGTCAGAGAAGTAAATAACAGTCAGTACAGTACAATTACATTCAGTAAGTTAAAGCTACAGTCAGTAAGGTACAGTTAAAGTCAGTAAGGTAAAATTACAATCAGTAAAGTAAAGTTACAGTCATTAAGGTAAAGTTACAGTCAGTAAGATACAGTTAGTAGGGTAAAGTTAGTATGATAAAGTTACAGTCAGTAAGGTACAGTTAGTCAGTAAGGTAAAGTTACAGTCAGTAAGGTACAGTTACAATCAGTAGGGTAAAGTTACAATCAGTAGGGTAAAGTTACAGTCAGTAAGGTAAAATTGCAATCAGCATGGAACAGTTACAGTCAGTAAGGTACAGTTACACTCAGTAAGGTAAAGTTGCAGTAAGTAAGGTACAGTTACAGCCAGTAAGGTAAAGTTACAGCCAGTAAGGTAAAGTTGCAATCCCATGGTACAGTTACAGTCAGTAAGATATAGTTACAGTCAGTAAATTAAAGTAACAGTCAGTCAGGTACAGTTACACTCAGTAAATTAAAGTTACAGTCCGTCAGGTACAGTTACACTCAGTAAATTAAAGTTACAGTCAGTAAGGTACAGTTACACTCAGTAAATTAAAGTTACAGTCAGTAAGGTAAAGTTGCAATCAGCATGGTACAGTTACAGCCAGTAAGGTACAGTAACACTCAGTAAATTGAAGTTACAGTCAGTAAAGTAAAGTTGCAATCAGCATGGTACAGTTACAGTCAGTAAGGTACAGTTACACTCAGTAAGGTAAAGTTGCAGTAAGTAAAGTAGTTACAGTCAGTAAGGTAAAGTTGCAATCAGTACGGTGAAGTTACAATCAGTAAGTTAAAGTTGCAATAAGTAAGGTACAGTTACAGTCAGTAAGGTAAAGTTGGAATCAGAATGGTAAAGTTACAGTCAGTAAGGTAAAGTTTCAATAAGTAATGTACAGTTACAGTCAGTAAGGTAAAGTTGCAATCAGTATAGTGAAGTTACAATCAGTAAGGTAAAATTGCAGTCAGTAAGGTACAGTTACAGTCAGTAAGGTAAAGTTGCAATCAGTATGGTGAAGTTACAATCAGTAAGGTAAAATTGCAGTCAGTAAGGTACCGTTACAGTCAGTAAGGTAAAGTTGCAATCAGTATGGTGAAGTTACAATCAGTAAGGTAAAATTGCAGTCAGTAAGGTACAGTTACAGTCAGTAAGGTAAAGTTGCAATCAGTATGGTGAAGTTACAATCAGTAAGGTACAGTTACAGACAGTAAGGTACAGCTACAGTCAGTAAGATACAGTTACAGTCAGTAAGGTACAGTTACAGTCAGTAAGGTAAAGTTGCAATCAGTATGGTGAAGTTACAATCAGTAAGGTAAAGTTGCAATCAGTATGGTGAAGTTACAATCAGTAAGGTACAGTTACAGACAGTAAGGTACAGTTACAGTCAGTAAGATACAGTTACAGTCAGTAAGGTACAGTTACAGTCAGTAAGGTAAAGTTGCAATCAGTATGGTGAAGTTACAATCAGTAAGGTACAGTAACAGTCAGTAAGGTACAGTTACAGTCAGTAAGGTACAGTTACAGTCAGTAAGGTAAAGTTACAATCAGTAAGGTACAGTTACAGTCAGTAAGGTACAGTTACAGTCAGTAAGGTACAGTTACAGTCAGTAAGGTAAAGTTGCAATCAGTATGGTGAAGTTACAATCAGTAAGGTACAGTTACAATCAGTAAGGTACAGTTACAGTCAGTAAGGTACAGTTACAGCCAGTAAGATAAAAGACTCTTTCAACATCTTTAGATATTCTGAGTAGATGGTGCTAGGTTCATATTCTTCTGGACCAGTGGGCAGTCAGTGGGTGAGGTGGTCAATATCTCAGCCCCTGCCTTTACTTCCCAGGTCTTTAGGCTGTGTTGACCCAAAAGTCTAGGGCAGCTGTAAAGGTCTTGATGGGGTTTTAAACCTTATGACCACCGCATTGGCAGGCCAGCATGCTAGTTATATCACACTCAGCAACTGTCAGTGGCACAGTACTGTGGTTCTGTGTACTGTTGCCTACCACCAGAACAAAAAGCCCTTCCGGAACAGAGTTCAGGATGGGTCCAACTGGAAGCAAAATCAATTTTGAAACAAGAGAAAAAATCATCTTGAAGCATATCTGAATTCAAGACCTTTGTGCCAACAGGCAAGTGCCTTGCCACTACGCTGCCCCAGCTCCTGACTGTAACTTAAATCAATTTTTGCAACTCTCTTTCAGTTTTGCTCTATGAACCGGAAAACCCAGAAGCTCTCAAGTTCCAGCCATTGATTGAAGAAAAACTAGAACTGGGTAAGTGTCTGATTTCAACAAGTGTAGTAGCAGCAGTTGAAACCATCCTATGTGGGTTTCAGGATCCTTCTTGTTGGCAATCACCAGCTGTAATCTGTGGCAGAAAGTTTTGGTTGTTTGTCCACTTCTGGTCTTTGGTCTTGTTCTAGAACTTGAGTTTTGCATGCACATCTTTTTTTTTTTTAAAAACAGATCTGGCTGATTTGAATGCTGACTGTTGTTGATTCCTGACCTCTGAGGTCAATGCACTCTGACTTCAGAGGAAATGCGTCTAACTAGTAGCCTTTTTCAGCTTGCTTTTGGGAGGAGGGGGGGGGGGGGGGGGGGGGCAGGTCTATTCTGTTCCGAAAAGGGGGCCCTGGAACCCACACATTGAGTATCCAGGGTAGCGTTGGGGGGGGGGGGGGGGGGGATAAAACACCTGCCCCCAACCCCCACCCCAACAAGAATGTTGTAAAATATTACTTAGTGTTTGTGAAGTTTCTTAGATCATATATGTCAAACAGAAAGGTGCAGAAATTGCAGTCTAGCTGTAAACCACAATGCAACCTGCCAGCCAAGTTTTTAGAGTGAATACTGAAGAAGACGGAAAGATTAAAATATGCTATTGATAAAATGCTAAGAGATGAGCAGGCAGGTTTTCGGTCAAACAGATCCTGTACTGATCAGATAGCCACATTACGTATTATAACAGAGCAAAGCATTGAACTGAACTCACCACTTTACATTGGATTTATAGACTATGAAAAAGCATTTGACAGCACTGATAGGGAATCTCTCTGGAAATTGATGGGGCACTATGGAATCCCACAGAAAATTATCAACTTAGTAAAGGCAACATATAAAGACATGAAATGTCGAGTTCTTCATGAGGGAAAGCTAACAGATGCATTTAAAATAAAAACAGGTGTGCGACAGGGATGTCTTTTGTCGCCTCTCTTATTTTTACTGGCTATAGACTGGACTATGAAAACAGTAACTGCTAACACCAAGAATGGAATTCAGTGGACCCCTACAAAACAGCTTGATGATCTGGACTTCGCTGATGATATTGCTCTTCTGTCCCATTCACGGAATCAGATACAAGATAAATTAAATATACTTAATGCAAGATCACAGCAGCTTGGTCTGAAAATCCATAAAGGAAAGACAAAGGTAATGAGAATAAATCAGGCAAATAGTAATGTGTTCTCTTAATGGCACCCCACTCCAAGACGTGGAGTCGTTCACCTATTTAGGCAGTAATGTAGATAAAGATGGAAGAACTGATAGAGATATTAAAATAAGAATACAAAAGGCAAGAGGGGCTTTCATAGCACTAGGGAATTTGTGGAGGTCAAAAGAAATTAAAAGCAATACTAAACTAAAATTTTTTAATTCTAATGTCAAATCAGTACTATTGTATGGGGCGGAAACATGGAGAACAACCAAGGCAATTACTAATAAATTACAGACATTCATTAACTGGTGCCTGCGCAGAATAGAAGGAATAAAATGGTATGATAGAATAACTAATGTAGAACTTTGGGAGAGAACTAAACAGGCTCCAGTGGATCAGGAAGTGAGGAAAAGACGCTGGCGTTAGATAGGGCACACACTGAGAAAACAGGAGAACAGCATAACTAGAATGTCTTTGCATTGGAACCCACAGGGGCATAGGAATAAAGGAAGGCCAAAAAACACATGAAGAAGAGAGCTGGAGAACGAGGTTAGAAAGATTGGGAGGACGTGGGGAGAGCTCCATGCAATGGCGAAGGATAGAACGACTTGGCGTGAGTTGGTTGAGGGCCTATGCTCCATTGGGGGATAGAAAGGCAGAAGAAGAAGAAGACTGAAGAAGACGAGGAGAAAGGAGGAGGAGGAGAAGAAGAAAAAGAAGAAGAAGTTGTGCTGGTGAGTGGTTTGTGTGCTTGTCTGCTAAGACAGGGGCCTGGGTTCAAATCCTTTCATTGGTAAGGCGACGTTTCTGTTCTTTGAAGACTTCACTAATTCTTGGCTCCCTGGTTGACCCAGCCTGGCGTGGGCACCATGTCTAGTCATGGGAAGTAAAGGCAGCCGGCATGATGCTGACCACATCACCCACCAAGTGCCGATTGATCTGTAAAATATAGGTCTGACCCTATGTGCCCAGTACGCATGAAAGGCATGGAAAAAAGGGTCCTTTACTTATGACCAACCAACCTGAAATTTCCTGTGTGACCTGAAATATTTGTTGAGACTTCACTAATTGCAGGTCTTTTACAAGCAAAGTGCGTGGCTCTGTAAATAAGCGGTTAGTGAATGCATTTAACAGTTTCATGACGCTTGAGTCATAGAGTTCAATTTTGCCAGTGGAAGGTTTAGTTTGAAACAAACACTGCTCCCGTGGTTTTAGGGGTACAGAAGATGCACCATGGAAAAGGCAGGGGCCTCACCTCACCAGGTGATATTCCCGAAGACTGCGATGGGTTCACTCTAGCTCACCTTCATTGTAGATGTAGTATGTATGTTTGTTGTACCCCACCAGGACATCGCACAAAGAGATAAACACCTGGCGACGCAAAATGCCACCATGTGGATGAGGATCACTGTGAAGAGGTTCCAGAAACCCTGTTCAGTCGTTAGGCTATGTTTATGGCCCAGCTATATTTGAGGCCCCCGGCAAAAGCCAGAGTGGGGTTTCAGATAACGAAAAATTTTGCATCTCTCATGGGGTTGGCTGTTGTAACCTTCAGTGTTGTAGCAGCAGACATTTTCTGGTCAAAGTAAAGTGTTAAACATGATGCTTTCCTGTACAGAAAGGTCATGGGGGAGGGGGGGGGGGGGGGTACGGTTTCTAGAAAATGAGGCAGAGGCAGAGCTCCACAAAGGTGGAGGGGGCTGAGTGGTCTCAAGGCATGGCGTCTGCCTCGAGTGCTGGTGGTTCCGGGTTAAAGCCCCGGGTGAAGGCTGGGATTTTTCACTTGGACTTCTAGTCATTTGCCTTGGTCTCTGGGTAGTGAGATTGGACACCAGTGTGTATTGTTGCACACGAAAAAAATCCAATGGCAGTTGAAAATCGAAAAGAGGAGCCTAATGGGGCTGCCTGGGCAAAATTCAGAGTTGAAAATCTACCCAAGTATTTCAGGATCCTTGCTGGTGCTTCGGACTCAGACTTGAGTTAGAAGTAGAATGGAGCACTTATGGATTACTACCCTTGTGCCATGATGTTGATGTGTTGTATAAACCAAACAAACAAAGGTGGATATAAGACATTAAAGATACATTGGTTATGAAAGCACATAGGGTTGGAGAATTAGCTAGACAGAGATTTTCAGGTTTGCAGGAGCATAAGCGAGTTTCTAACAACGACCTCATGATGTTCATAAAACAAAAAGCTCTGTTTGTGCCACATTTGGTGTACAGGGCTGACCTATATACTTTTATCAACCAATCAGCACTCAGCGAATGATGAGGTCAACATCATGCCAGCCACTTTTACTTCCCAGCACGTTTGTTAGAACCCTTTTAAAAACTGGGTCTCACAGGGAGCCCAGACAGTATACAAAGCCACCTTGATGTGGTTTCGATCCCAAGCCCTTCGGGCTGTCAGGCAACATCAGGCAACTATGCCACTGCTGCACCCATGCTTTCTGTATTTTATAATTTAAAAGCAATATTCCTATCATAATTTACCTTTTCTATTTTCTTTGATGTAGATGCCGAAGCTGAAAAAGAAGCAGCAGAGGAGAGCAGTGATGATGATGATGATAGTGATGATGAAAGTGAAGATGATGGCAATGATGCTAGTGAAGACGAGGATGAAGATTCAGGGTGAGAAAAAGTTTATTCATTTTTCTTTAATAATGGGTCATTGTAGATTCTAGAAGTAGAATCAGACCACATTATTGACTGAAGCAGTAAGTAGCAAGGTTTCATTGTTGACTGTAGCAGTAGGTAGAAAGGTTTAATTGTTGACTGAAGCAGTAAGTAGCAAGGCCTCATGGTTGACTGAAGCAGTAAGTAGCAAGGCCTCATGGTTGACTGAAGCAGTAGGTTGCAAGGTTTCATTGTTGACTGTAGCAGTAACTAACCAGGTTCTATTGTTGACTGAAGCAGTAAGTAGCAAGGTTTCATTGTTGACTGTAGCAGTAAGTAGCAAGGTTTCATTGTTGACTGTAGCAGTAGGTAGAAAGGTTTAATTGTTGACTGAAGCAGTAAGTAGCAAGGCCTCATGGTTGACTGAAGCAGTAAGTAGCAAGGCCTCATGGTTGACTGAAGCAGTAGGTTGCAAGGTTTCATTGTTGACTGAAGCAGTAACTAACCAGGTTCCATTGTTGACTGAAGCAGTAAGTAGCAAGGTTTCATTGTTGACTGTAGCAGTAAGTAGCAAGGCCTCATTGTTGACTGTAGCAGTAAGTAGCAAGGTTTCATTGTTGACTGAAGCAGTAAGTAGCAAGGCCTCATTGTTGACTGTAGCAGTAAGTAGCAAGGCCTCATTGTTGACTGAAGCAGTAACTAACCAGTGCCCATTGTTGACTGAAGCAGTAAGTAGCAAGGTTTCATTGTTGACTGTAGCAGTAGGTAGAAAGGTTTAATTGTTGACTAAAACAGTAAGTAGCAAGGCCTCATGGTTGACTGTAGCAGTAACTAACCAGGTTCCATTGTTGACTGAAGCAGTAACTAACCAGGGATCATTGTTGACTGAAGCAGTAATTAACCAGATCCCATTATTGACTGTAGCAGTAACTAACCAGGTCCCATTGTTGACTGAAGCAGTAACTAACCAGGTCCCATTGTTGACTGAAGCAGTAACTAACCAGGTCCCATTGTAGACTGAAGCAGTAACTAACCAGGGCCCATTGTTGACTGTAGCAGTAACTAACCAGGTCCCATTGTTGACTGAAGCAGTAACTAACCAGGTCCCATTGTTGACTGAAGCAGTAACTAACCAGGGCCCATTGTTGACTGAAACAGTAACTAACCAGGTCCCATTATTGACTGAAGCAGTAACTAACCAGGTCCCATTGTTGACTGTAGCA